AGCTTTCACCTGCCAGGCTTGCAAAGCCCCGCTTAACTCACCCTTGCCTTGCATTTATAGCAGCAGTGAGTGGAGGACGTAACTACGTGCACACCACTCCCTCCCCGTTGGAACCCCAGGATCATTCCTGGGTTTTGACGTTGTTTCCCTCTGAGGCTTGGGGCTGAATCCCCACATGTTCCTGGTGGGACACGAGCAACGCATGGGCCAGCCTTGTGGGGCTGTGGGGACTTGTGGGGATGGGCAGTGGGCTCCTGGGGCTGCCAGAAAAGCGAGGGCTCAAAGGCTGAAATGTAGTAACGTCAGAACAAGAGGCATGCCCTTTATGTCCAGCAAGCGTTTTTGCAAATATAATTAAAATAAATACATATCTGGGACTGATCTGACCACAGGTATAAAGATGCAGTGCCAGATTTTTAAAACAAAATAACTTAAGCACTTAGAAAAGGACTCGAGTAGACTTTGGATACTTATGTTCAAAATAATTGTCCCAGGAAACCCAATTCAGCAGCCACCCAGGCTGAAAGCACTTAGGCACACTCGGGCAGGCGTTCAACAAAGCATTTAGCTAGCCCGGCGCTGCATCAGCAGAAACCTTGGAGCCTTCGTTCAGGGGAGTGACTCAGGGAAACTGCAGGGGCTTGGTGCTGAGGCGGCCGGGGTCCCACCGGGGTATGGCCGGGGTCCCGCCTGGGTCCCGCCTGGGTACCCACGCACCCACGGCAGTGCTGTTCCCTGTGCCGCTCTGTTTGCAGCTGGCTCCTGCCCCTCTTGGCTGCTGCAACTGCTTTAAGAGTTGGGGAGAGGGTGGTTTGTTAGCACAGCAGCGTGACGGGAGCTGCAGGTGGCTCGCTCCTCACCGCCTTCCCCAGGGAACGCATTTTCAGTACAAGTGGAGATGCTGCAAACCAGCAGCCTTGGCTGCTAAACGCAGCTGAGGAGGGAGAATGCTCCTGGTAATAAATTCATAGATCTTCACACCTTAGCAGGCTGAGAAGCACCTGGTTTTAAAGAGACTTTAAAACTATTTTGGGTGCAGTCAGTCAGACCGAGACCCCCTTATGCTTGGAGGCCCTAAACGCCAGCTTCAAAGAAGGGAGGGAAACCACAAAGATAGCCCGGAAAAGGTTGATTTCAGTGGGGGCAAATCTTCAAAGCACAACTTTCCTGTAGAGTTAAAAAGACCATGTCCCTTTTCCATGAATAAGTCACAAAGTGGGAACCTTTCCTAAGTGCACAGCCAACCCAACGGGTGTTTCCTCCGTCGGGATTGAAAATGAATCGATGCCCCCGGTTTCTTTTATGTGGTGCAGCTGCGCTTCTCTTCTGCTGAAATGCCGTCTCTCCTCTGCTCCGGCTGGTCGAATCCTCATCTCTGTTTCAAACACATTTCTTCTCTTCTTCAGTCTTTTCTAGCATCAGTAATAATCCCATCAGATGCGTCTGCTGGATGTTGGGTTTTTTATTGGCAACAGGCTGATGGCCGGTGAGGGCCTCGGGGCTGGTCCTCCTGCCCTGCCCAGCTGCCCTGGACGCGATGCTAACGCCGCTCGCGGTCACAGCCAGACCCTTTCCCTCTCCCATCCCCTGCCCTCTGCACCCACCGAAGGCTCCGTGTCTCATTACAACAAGCAGCCCCGGCAGCCTCCGGGCTGTGCCGGCGGTGCCAGCCCTGCCTGCCCTGCCCACGCCAGCCCCCGGACCGCTCTCCTCCTTTGGGCACAGGGAGGGAAGTCGTGGCCGGGCTGTGTTTTGCTGCAGCAGATCTGATATTTTCATGACTTGAAAGAGGTCTGGAGGAATACTCCACCCAGCGCTTTCCAGGCACACATCAGCTGCGGGGAAATCCAGCACCTCCTCGTCGGGGCCAAGCATTTGGAGGGTGTCAGAGACGCTGGAAAGAGTGCTCACCCCTTACCGTGAGTCGCTCTGGGCCGGCGGTGACATCTCCTTTCAGAAATGCCCTGCCGGGTGCTGGCCGGTGGGGCAGGGTGTCCATCAAGCGCCCGGGTTTCGGGGTCTGTCCCACTGCCTACGCTGGGGCACTGCAGCAGCTGCAGGCAGAGAGGTCTTATACCGACGGCACATTCCTCCTTTGAGAGCCTCAAATCTAATCTAAACAGTAATTCCTACAGATTTCCTACTGTGTGCCGCTGTTGCATTTTCTAGCAAACACGCTCATTAGGGACGGGTATTCGTCACCAGCCAAGGACACGGTGTAACCTGCACGCCAGGGCTTTCAGCACTATTGCAGGGGCGGTGGGAAGCCCCTGGCAGCGTGTAGGCATGGGACACATCCTTCTCTGCTCCTTGTCTTCACTGCAGCTTGCAAAACACCCTGTGAATAGTGAAAATACTGGCTCACCAACCCACCGCCTCCTTCAAAGCTTCAGACAAAAAATAAGCCACCTAATTGAGGAGAAATGTTCCCAGGATCCGGGGCAGGGAGCTCTGTACCTGGGCCTCCCCACTCCTCTCGCCCGCAGCCTCCGGCGAGCCGAGCTTCTGTGTCAATTACAGGAAAATCAATGAAGATACTGTTCAGGACTCCTTTTCACCATTCAGCGCGGATGATATCCTTCACTTTCTAGCACTGATTCATTTACTTTCAGCCTCTCCAGGGGCTCCTGACATATTGCTATCTCTGAAGAATCTGAAGCAAGAACTGCCTTTGTTTCCACTGCAACTTGTTGGCGTGCGCAGGCTCCGGGGACGGTGCTGCCGGGGCTGGGGCTCACAACAGGGTCAAAAGGAGAGCGGCTGCGGTACACGGCAGGGATTTTTAAACACTTCTTGCCAAAGCACCTTTCCAATGTCCTCTCAGATCTCATTTGCACAGAGATTGGGCAGGATCGGGGGGCAAAATGGATCCAAAACCCAGAGCTGGCGTGCCATCGACCTCCTTCCTCCAGCTCCACGCTGTTCTGGCTGAGCTGTCCCCAACAGCAGTGACACAGGAGCCCTGCTGCTCCTCCCACTGTCCTGCCATTGCCAACACATCCCTCTCCGAGCATCAAAGCCCAGCCTAGGCAGTGTTTCCCGACAGGATTCATCTGCCTCTGCTGCCAGGGGCTTTGCCTGGGCCACCAGGATGGTGCGTAGCCTTCCCATGCTGCTCACCCACTCGTGATAAAAACCCTCTGATCCACTCACAGCTTGTGCCCAACTGCCAGGTGACACATTTAGCATGCTCCAGGGCATCGCAGGGCCAGCTGCAGAAGGGGGAAAGCCCCACTTGTCCAGCAGCCTGTTGGCAATAAATACTCTGCTCTTGCTCATTAACTTTCATGGAGGCAGTTGGGAGTTTTGTACAAAACCCGAGGGCTGGGAGTTCTTCCTCTGCCTGAGGAGTGCTAGAAAAGTGGAAAGGTATATGACACCAGGGCTGTACTGCCTTACTCTGGGGCTTATACCCAGCCCCAGGACGCATGGTCAGAAACTACGCAAGATGACGTTAAGTATTATAGAATTTATTTCCAAAATATCTAAAGATGAAAAGTTGTGGATGGTGTATCCTGGGACGCCTGGGTGGACATGTTGAAACTGAGAACACCATGCACTGGGTAGACGACAACAGAAGCCACGTGAAGAGTCACATAAAAAACCTATCTCCGATATTAAAACACTGTTATTTCCTACATTTCCTACATTCCCATTCTTTTCTCTCTCCACCAAAGCCACAGGCATCCCACAGGACTGGGATATAGACCTCCGGGCCATACTCAGGCTGAACTCCCACTGAAGGCTGAAGAACCATGCTGTGACGTAAAACCCAAGCCTGCAAGCTCCTCATGTTCCTCCTCTTCAAAGAGAGCTTCGTGCATGGAGAGCTTGTAGGATATAGCCCAGAGCAAGGATGGTGCTACAAAGACAGTATTTATTATTTATAAGGCACTTCTGTGAACTCAGGGCTCAGAGGCAGAGCTGTCTATGGGGGCGAGTTTTATAAGGAAAAAAAAACATAGCTTGAAGAAACACTGAAAGTACTGCAGTATGCAGAAGTCATGGTTGTAAGAGACATTCCTCAGGTTACAGAAGTCAGGCTCTCTTGGAGTTCACGTGAAATTTGCTGTGTGATTTACGGGGCAGTTTAATTACCGGTAGGGTTCTTCGAGGTGGTAGCGTGCCCTAAACACCAGGCTTTTAAAGAATGAGGGGTCTTCTGAGCCAGCAATGGGTTTTGCATTGCCCAGGTGCAGGCTGCGGCGTAGGCTCCCGCAGCGCTGCAGGTGCCATACGGTGATCTATAGCGTTACAGGGAAACGCCGGGGCCCGGCGGCCCGGTGCTGGGGAGCAGGGGGACGTTGTGCACCCACCCGGACACTGGTCCCCCAGCGAAGGCAGAGGGTCCCGAGCAGCCAGGGCTCCCCGTGGCTTGCAGCCGTGCTCAGCCCCCACATGCACCCAAGGGGCTCGGGGGGTCACTGTGGCCCTGGGCCTGTCGGGGGGAGGCCGCGGCTGCCAGGCTGGGTGACCCCCGGTCTTTTGGGAGGTGACGGCAGGGCACGCCAAGGCGGTGGGCAGGGTGCTCTGGGCACCCCAGGGTTGTCGGGGGCACCCCGGGGATGTCGGGGTGGGCACGCTTGGGATGCACTGCTGGGGAGGACACGCCGGGGCGGTGGCGGAGGGCACCTGGGGCTGCCG